TTAGAACATCGCCATGGGATCCAAAAGAAAATCTGCCTTATGACTATGCTCGCATCTATCAGTTTCAGAACTTTGATCGGACAAAACGGCGAATCGTTTCGGAGGCCAAAGACGTTGATGGATTTAAGGTAAAATGTCTGATTCCCAACTGAAAAAGGTTGTAAATTACGGATGTACTTATTTAGCACGGCGCTTACGTAACAATATACATCATAAATGTACCAGGCGAAAAGTGGCGAGCTTATATATCGGCTCGTAAGTGCAATATCTTGGTGATATATGGGCTACTCCCTCATGAACATCAAATGTCTGTGGTGAACGTTGTACTCAAACGGTTACCCGACTCAGAGGCCCCAATAAAATCGAAAGAGACCTTAATCATACAGTGTGGTTATCGCCGTTTTATTGTTAATCCCATCTTCAGTCAACACACCAATGGCGATAAGCACAAAGTAAGCCAAAATACCAAAATTATTAAAACGAAAGTACTAAATCGTTTGCATAATTTTATTTTTTTTTTTTATAGTACGAACGCTACTTTCGGCCACATACAACAGTATGTGCTACATTTTTTGCGCCAATACAGTTCCCTCCTGCACCTGTGTTAGCATTTAAATTAAATCCTGATTCAACTTTAGCGTTGGTTGCACGCGGTTGTCTGTTATCTTGTAATCCTGATCGTGTTGTGCTTAAGCGCATCGTTTTGAGCGGACATCCAATGCGTATCAACCGCAAATCGGCCACTGTACGTTATATGTTCTTCAATAAGGAAGATGTGGATTACTTTAAGCCGGTTAAGCTACGCACAAAATGTGGACGCTTGGGGCATATAAAGGAATCCCTAGGAACACACGGACATATGAAATGCGTATTTGACGGGCAGCTTCGCTCGTATGACACAGTTTTTATGTATCTCTACAAACGAGTTTATCCTAAATGGACCTATGAGGAATGCTTAATACGCTGTGAAAAGGACGAGGAAAACCCTGAGGATGTAAAAATGGAATAATTCAA